CTAAAAATTTGAGGGTTTTATCCCCCGTTATTGCGCGCCGTTAAAGTTCCTGAAACATTTTCTGGGTTTTCGGGCAATTTCCCCCTGCCTTGAAAGGTGCTGTTAGTGTGAAAGAAATATTCCCCCTAATAGAACAAGGACCTAAAGGGTGTATCATGGGTTTGGGCCCCTCCCTAGTTTTGGAAAGGTTCCATTACCCAAACCTGTCATTTTTCTAGCAGATGCGATTGATACAATGTTATGGCCCTTTAAAGGGTGAGATCCTCCCGCCCTAAATCACTCCCAGTTTTTGACTTGGTTTTTTTGCTCTATTTTGGGGGCCAGAATTTGTTTTGTACCTGATGAAGATTTAATTTTCCCCCATGTTTACCTTCTGAGTAATTGAAAAATTTTTCAAACGTTTAACTTCTTTTTTTTTCTGCAGCCCACTGAAAGATTTTTGGGTTGGGTGTCCCGCCTGGGCTTTGCAGTGTCTGGGAATGGGAAAACCATTCATGCAATTTGGGTGTCATCCCGCAAAGGAAAACACGGTGCTGTGGGTGAAAATCCTTGTCTATGTCGGGTATGAAAGGGTGAGGAAAAAAAGATGGGAGCGGGGTACTGTTTCCCTTTTTGGAAAAAAGCTTTTCACCTTAAACTGCCTCGGACTTTAAATCGGGTTTACGACTACTCCCTGTGTTCTGTTTAAAATGAGGAAATTATAGATCCAAACGACCGACTTTTTTGTTTTCCTTTAGCACGATTTTTTGCGCTATTACGCCAAAGGGCAACACTTGTGAAGGCTTTTTTCAAAGTCCCGTATAAATTACATCTGCATTCTTTTTGTCTTCTAGTGCAAATTTTGGGCCTTGTCGTTGGGGGTCCCCAAAATTGAAAACAGACAGGAGCGACCTGTTTTAAACCCATTTTTGCCGGGTTTTTTGTAACTGATGGGTTTCTAGATGGGGTGATTTTGCTTCTTAGGGCCCTTTCAAAGATTTTTATGATATGGGATTTAGTGCTATTGGTCTGTTTTGGTTTTTTTTTTCTGTTGCTTTACTGCCCCCTTTGTGGAGTGGGGGTAGTCGGTTGTTTTTAGTAACTGTGGACGGAACCCCCTTGTCCATGCTCCCTTTCCCATAGAGGGAAAAAAAGGCTCGTGATAGGGGCTTCTTGCAGTTCTTGATGAACAAAAGAGTTCCATGAGTCTGGGCCCGGGGGCAGAGTGCATGGGCATGTCATTTTTTCGCCTTTTCCCGAAGTCTTTGGCGTCAGGATAACATGGGATAGGCTTGTGTTACAAATTTTGGGCTCTCTCATAAAAAATTCATTTGATCTTCGACTCTCAGTCTGGTTAGCGGCTTCTAAAAACGGGAGTCTATATGGGACTTAGTACTCACTCTTTTTCCCTGGCACTGTGTGACCATTTGTTTTAAGAGGGGCCAAATACTGGAGGTTCTTTTTTGAATTTTTTTTGGCATAAGAAGTTTACTTTGGTTTCTTTCGATTTCTTTAGGCTTTTGTTTTTTTTTCCCCGATTCCTGACTCTAAAGGATTTTTTTAGCTTAAGTTTGATGCTTGCATTTCCGGGCCAGTGTTCCCCACGCATTTTAGATATATTTGACCTCTTTTAGCCGCTCGTTATTCTTTTCCGTCGCCTGTAAAGGAGCGCCTGTCTCTTTCCCGTTTTACACTACTCCCCCTTTTTCTTAGAGAATAAGCCTTGGCATACATCGAGTGCCACCGAGTTTTAATCTTTCTAGGGATAAGTTGGGGTCGTGTTGCTTAGTATATCTTTCCCCGCTTTATATCGGTTTAGGACTGGTTTACTTGGTCCCACTTTTGTTTTTGTTATTGAAGTTGAATTTGGTGAATGCTCCCCGTGACTAATCTCATTATGGCGGTCTGGGGCTCCGCCCCATACATTACTGAACCTCAATTAATTTGTGATCTGAATATGGTTTTTGATATGGTATTTTCTTATCAGACATCATTGTTAGTTTAAGATGAGGTTAGTGTATTCTCCAGTCTAGTAGGCTCTATTTTTTTGCTGGGTTTAAATTGAATTTTTGCAGAGTATTAAAAGCTCGCGTGAGTGTGAGTTTTCATCAGAGCTGCCTCCTGGTGTTATTACTGCAACAATATTATTTGCTTATTCCTCCATTTTAGGTGCCTTAAGTTGAAATCCCCCAGGAGCAAGATGTTGGGTGCAGGAGCTGGAAAGGGTTTTTCCCAGACAGTGGTCAATTTTTAACAGCTGTTCCTGGAATTGCTGGGATGTTGCATCCAGAGGCTTGTAGACTATCACAATGACTAGGTTTTGGTTCTCGACCTTTACTGCTAAAACTTCCACTACATCATTTGAGGCATTTAGCAGTTCTGTGCAAACAAGTGACTCTGCAATGTACAGGCCAACCCCCCCCCCTTTTGCCTGTTCACTCTGTCACATCTGTATAGGTTGTAACCGGGGATCCATATTTCGTTGTCCAAGTGATCCTTTATGTGGGTCTCAGTGAAAGCCGCGAACATTGCCTTTGCCTCTGCAAGCAGTCCACGGATGAAAGGTATTTTGTTGTTTGTTGCTGGCTTTAGACCCTGTATATTTGCAAAGAAGAATGTTATCGGACTGGTGGTATAGTTGGTACTGGGGGGGGATTTTTTTTCCGGCATTAGTATCTGTATCTGTTGGTTTGGAGTGGAGGCCATCGACTGTGGTTCCACTCCAGGAATGACTGGATTTGGTGTACGATTTCTGCCATTTCCTGCCAGTTTTTTTTCCTTCCTGGCACTAAAAAACCTCTCCCTCTTGAGGGGCTGTGGCTCCCCAGGTTTTCCCATGGCCTGGATGTTTTGTATCTTTTTGTCCCCTTTAGATGGTATTGCCTGGCAATTTAAGTTATAGCACAGTCTTTCCTGTACTGAAGAGGTACACAGTTCAGGGTGAAAAAGCTTACAGGAAGGGAGTTTGCATTTTCCTGTTTTCATATGGGCATGGCATTTCCTAGGGTGGTCATTAGTTGCACGTCCCATCTGTTTTTCCAGATTTCCCATGCCAGCAGATACCGAGTGCATTAGTATGTGCACAGGCTTGGTTTCCGTTTGCCTTGGGTTTCTGTGACTGTATTCCCTGTTGGTGCATGTTTCCCTGTCTTACTTCTATCCTCCTAGCACCAACAATGGAGCTCCCACCAGTTGTTTTGGTAATATATCCTCACTATTGCTAGTGGAGTCCTCTTGTTTGCTATTTCCTGCGGTATTTCTAGTTTGCAATATTGGTTTTATCTTATCTTTGACTACACTTGTTTCCCTACTATGGCTCCTGTCCCTATGAGGTCATTTATATGTATTCCTCCTGCGTATAATTCCGACTACCTGGACAAAATCTCCAGCTTCACCATTACTGTCTCCCAGGACAGCATCTCCAGCTTCCCATTACTGTCTCCCAGGACAGCATCTCCAGCTTCACCATTACTGTCTCCCAGGACAGCACCTCTAGCTTCACCATTACTGTCTCCCAGGACAGCACCTCCAGCTTCCCCGTTACTGTCTCCCAGGACAGCACTATCAGCCCCCCATTTACTGACTACCAGGACATCATCTCCAGCCTTACAGTTTCTGACTACACGGCCAGTATCAAGGGCAGTACCATTCAGCCCGGACTTTTTATGTTCCCATCTGTTGTAGAAAGCTTCCAGGTTTTCTATGAAAGCAGCTTTGATGTTGACCTCTTTTAATACCCTTGTGATTTTAGTCCACAGATTTATCTCATTTGGGCATACCCAAAAACACTTCCCTGTTTTAATACTGCTTGTAGCTAGTTTTGCTGAGTAATTCTGAGCAAATGAGCGACTCTTGTGACATACAGGTCAACAACCCACTTGTTGCCTGTTCTGTCTCATCTGAACACAACAACCAAATTCTGTAAATTCAACATTGTAATCTTTATAGAGAATAAACTTTGAATTTGAATTTGAATTTGAATCTGAACATGTACCCTGGGATCCATATTTCGTTGCCAAAGTGATGTTGTATATGAGTCCCGCAAAAATTGCAGTTGACTCTGTGATTAGTCCATTGATGAAAGGTATTTTGTTGGTTGATGGTTTTAGACCATGTATATTTGCGACGGGAGGGTGAATTTGGGAGCGCTTGAGGTTCCTAAACCTGTATTCCCTGGAACGCAGGCGGGAGAGATACATGATTATATACACCTGGAAAATCCTAGAGGGACTAGTACCGAACTTGCACACGAAAATCACTCACTACGAAAGCAAAAGACTTGGCAGACGATGCAACATCCCCCCAATGAAAAGCAGGGGTGTCACTAGTATGTTAAGAGACCATACAATAAGTGTCAGGGGCCCGAGACTGTTCAACTGCCTCCCAGCATACATAAGGGGGATTACCAACAGACCCCTGGCAGTCTTCAAGCTGGCACTGGACAAGCACCTAAAGTCAGTACCTGACCAGCCGGGCTGTGGCTCGTACGTTGGTTTGCGTGCAGCCAGCAGTAACAGCCTGGTTGATCAGGCTCTGATCCACCAGGAGGCCTGGTCACAGACCGGGCCGCGGGGGCGTTGACCCCCGGAACTCTCTCCAGGTAAACTCCAGTGGAACGGAATCCCCTCAAAGAAGGTTTCTTGATGCTGGTGAGGGGCTCTTGATCTAGGGAATTGGATCTGTGCTACAGTTCCCTGAGTACCTTCCACATCCCCCCACAGGCGCTGTATAATCCTACGGGTTTAGCGGAGGGAATGATGAGTGGTGGGAGGGAGGGAGGATTTTGTTGTGGGAGGGTTTGCTGGTGGGAAAGGAGTGGGAGGGAGGTAAAGAAGGGGATGTGGGAGGGATGGATGGTTGGTTCAATTCAATTCAATTCAAAGTTTATTCTCTATAAGGATTACAATGCTGAGTTTACAGAAATTTGGTTATTGTTTGTGGGAGGGACGGATGGTATGGTGTTGGAGGGTGATTTCGGTGGAAGGGAGGGATGGTGGAGAGGGAAGGATTGAGGGAGGGAGGGATGGGTGGTGGGAGGGTGAATTGGGAGATAAATGGGGGGTGCCCATGTGAAAACAGTGACAGGCAGCAGCAGCTGAGCCATGCGCACTTATTTACAACAATCATACTGATGTATGGTTTTGGTGTATATACGGTAAGTAGTGTTAATATATAGTTATCTCCATCTCATCCCTTATAGAGAATAAACTTGAATTGGTTATACAAATAGAGGGAAGCAGGCTGGTGGTCCCTCAGACAATGAAGGAATATATAAAATACAGACACAATAAATGAAGACAAATGCAGTGTAATGTGATACTTTATTAACAATGTTTCACTCACGTTGGGCTTCATCAAGTCACAGATCTGTGGGGTAAACGTTGTTAGTAAAGGATGGCATTATACAGTATTTGTGGCCATCCTCAGGCAGGATCAGGTGTGCACTCATAAACTGTGACTTTCGTTATCACAATATGAGTTCAGCACCCGTGCTGGTGCACAGTGTATGAAAAATAATACCCCATTTATATTCAGTTTTCTCTCAAAACCTAAATATACCAATGAAGGGAAGCAGAGGATATATAAATTTTGAAGTCCCTCAATTGGTATGTACGATATGCATTATTTACAGTATATAATAGGTACTTACAATTTAGCCCTGATAAGACAGGATATAAAAACACTGCCTGTAAAAACATTAATGGAGTACTGAAGTAGGCCTACCTCACTACTCATGCAGTACCCATGCTAGGTGGGTTCAACTTGTACCCAACCACAGGATATGGAAACACTACATGTATTGACTACTGGTGCAGAAAAAATAATTTGCTGCCATCTGTGACCCCTCAAGGAAGGTTCCTTGATGTTGGTGAAGGGCTCTTGATTTAGGGAATTGGATCTGTGCTCCAGTTCCCCGAATTAAGCCTGAATGCCTTCCAAATGTGGCCAAATTCTGGCCACAAAATAGAGCGAAACACCAACGTCAAAGACCTGGGAGTGATCATGTCGGAGGATCTCACCTTTAAGGACCATAACATTGTATCAATCGCATCTGCTAGAAAAATGACAGGATGGATAATGAGAACCTTCAAAACTAGGGAGGCCAAGCCCATGATGACACTCTTCAGATCACTTGTTCTATCTAGGCTGGAATATTGCTGCACACTAACAGCACCTTTCAAGGCAGGTGAAATTGCCGACCTAGAAAATGTACAGAGAACTTTCACGGCGCGCATAACGGAGATAAAACACCTCAATTACTGGGAGCGCTTGAGGTTCCTAAACCTGTATTCCCTGGAACGCAGGAGGGAGAGATACATGATTATATACACCTGGAAAATCCTAGAGGGACTAGTACCGAACTTGCACACGAAAATCACTCACTACGAAAGCAAAAGACTTGGCAGACGATGCACCATCCCCCCAATGAAAAGCAGGGCGTCACTAGCACGTTAAGAGACCATACAATAAGTGTCAGGGGCTCGAGACTGTTCAACTGCCTCCCAGCACACATAAGGGGGATTACCAACAGACCCCTGGCAGTCTTCAAGCTGGCACTGGACAAGCACCTAAAGTCAGTTCCTGATCAGCCGGGCTGTGGCTCGTACGTTAGTTTGCGTGCAGCCAGCAGCAACAGCCTGGTTGATCAGGCTCTGATCCACCAGGAGGCCTGGTCACAGACCGGGCCGCGGGGGCGTTGACCCCCGGAACTCTCTCCAGGTAAACTCCAGGTAAACATCCCCCCCCAGGCGCTGTATAATCCTCCGGGTTTAGCGCTTCCCCCTTGATTATAATAATAATAATAATGCCATCTGTGAGGCCTGAACATATACAACCCATCCTTTAATAACTGTGTAACACTTTAACATAGGGTTTGTAGCTCATTTTTATGTTAAAATGGGATAGGCTAGGTTACAACAGAAAAACTATAAATATAAAATGAAAGCCAATAAGATAGTTTACCACATAAACTGGAAATGGGCAGCCACTGGGCACGACTCCTGTAATTGTCATATTTCACTTGATCAAGGCTTTATCAACAGTGACCCATTTGACTTTTTACAACAGTGCCATGTTGTCTGGTTAAGAGGACAGGCTACCTTTCTACATCCTGTAAGCCCCTCAGGGAAGGTTCCTTGGTGCCAGTGAAGGGCTTCTGATCCAAGGCAGGATCTAATCTACTCTTGATTGAACCTGATTACCTCTGATTCCTCCAGGCATTGTAAATACCCTATGGGTTTTGCACTTCCTCCTGAATATATTAATAATAATAATAATAATAATAATAAAAAAATACATCCTGTAAAATTTAAATAGAGTTTTAGTGCTTGCTTTTGAATATAATAATATTTATGATACAGTACTTAACAGTGATTGGAAGTAATCATGTAAGCACCTTTTTATCATTGTTATTCAATAAATTATTATTTATTCATGAAACAGATTTATCCGTTATCTATTAATGGTTCTGGAGATTATCTTTCCCATGGCAAAGTCTCAGACCAGGTCTCCTAGATTCGAAAGAAAATACAGCATTACGGGATTAAGAACTATTAAGAAGCACATAGGAAAGTAAAGGTATGTATATACTGTATGTAAGTAGAAGTTTGTAATGAGTTACCTGTCGTTTCAAGTGTTCATGAGACAAAATACAGCTCATTTATCCTGCCAGAATGCAAAAATATTTGATAAGATGGTAATATCTACCAATCTGTACTACCTGTAATTTCATCATTATTATTTCCACAAGCTTTTTCTCTGACACAAATCACTATCATCTGGATTGTGCTACACCAAGTCCTAAGTTTCTAAGTTTATTTATAAATGAAGAAGCTATACTTCTCCAGTTGATCTTGAATTTTTATTATAAAATAAAATAAAATATTTATTTCTTTGCTAAGGTTACAATGTGTGTTTTCATATCATAGTATGGTTGGAGCAATGAAAGCCACTATCGTGCTTATGTATTACAGGCAGACTTAACCTAATACTTATAGACTACTTAAGTCTAGACAGGTGAAGAGTGGTATAATTGTCAATATTCACTCTATTGTTAATATGAGGTAGTACAAATTGTGACAATCTTGCAGTTTTAAGTTCGAAATTAGGTTCTCTTACAATGGTAGAATACAAATACACATGTATTCTATATTTCACTCTTATTATTAATATGAGGTAGTACAATTTATGATACAATCAATTTATGGTAGAGAGCACCCAGGGCTCTGATGTAATCGGCTGATATTTTAAAATGTTCGTGTTATGGAATTTTATTATAATCCTGAGTTGCATAATGTATCGCAGTTGATATTTTTTTCTTAATTTGCCAGAATGATTGAAGAGTTATTGATTATGTGATATCAAACAGAATAATTTTTAAATAAGGCTCACACAAACTTCTTTAACTCTGCTGACGTGATACATATACAGTTCTTTACTGGGTATAGAGTCCATTCAGCTAGTTGTAGAAAAAAATTAAATTTCATTATACAGTTTTGTTAAAATTCTGATTTGCCTTTGTAGAATCCTATCAGATTGAGCATGTCGGGGTTGAGTATACCAATTCACCCTATTACGCACAACCCGACTGAAGCTTGGGAGCAGATTAAACCCACACAACGAGTTATCAAGCTAAATGTCAAAACTCCCACAACTCCACAGAATGAAAATATGGTAAGATGGTTTGCTTTGTAGTGAATAAAAAAAGCATATAGTGGGTCTGGTGATGTTGCCCTGTTTCCTACAAAATTGTTCCTTCAGGGTGCCTTGATGCTTGTGAAAGGCTTGTCATCCCTCCCTTTGGATCAAATTTGATTATCTCCCAAGATTCCTATAACTCATGTTGATATAGCATTTCCTCATGATTGCAATAATAATTCTCCAAAAGTATAGTACTAGATTTCATTATAATGTGTTAGTGAAGAAAAAATAGAAGTTGTATACAGATCAGGATTAGAATTTTATACCTGAAGAATACAGTAGTGCATTAATTTTCTGAGCATGTGCATATGCATGTGTGAGCTATACATATGTAGTAGAAACACTGCTCACTAGAGGTCTGTAGTCAGTGCACCTTGTTGGAAGAAGACATAAAATGCAAACACTAAGAAATTTTATTGATCCTGGGACCTTGGTCACTCCAAATGTATATATGGGTAGGAAGACATGAGCTTATATGTATAGTCAGGAAGGCACCTGAGTGTCAAGGAGGTAAGTTGGTTTAAATTCTTAAATAGCTTTAACCACCTAACCTCACTGCCAATCCGGTATGTTCTGATTATACAAAATTATATAATCCTACCCTTATGCATATTTGAATTGTCTAAGGTCCTGTGATCAAAATGTTTCTAATAAAATGTTTTAATGTTCGTATTTTGTGTCTTTATCCAACTACCTGTTGGTATTATATACCATTTTTACCAATGTACTTTGTGACTGTAAGGGAAGCAGCAGGTTAAAACAGATCCCGTTTGTCTAGTTATGGCTAATGTTTTGTTTTTATTTGATTCCACACTTTTATATTGTTTGATGGCTTAAGAATTTTTTTCATTGCTGTGGAATTTTATCTTGGGAGAGGAGTAACCTACTGAGTAGTATACAGTTCAGATTTTGGTCTAAAGATTCCTGTACAGCATACCAAATGTACCTACCATCCGACTTACGACCTGCTCGACTTACGACCACTCGACTTAGGACCGTGTTTTTTATGCCAAATTTCTGGGAAATAAACAACTATTTGTTGTACACAGTGTTTATCCTAAACCTTACAGTATAAAATACAGTACTAACAACATAAAAAGTAAAGTAAAACATGAAATACCAAAATAAAACAATAAAATAAAGTCATGACAAAATGTTTTGTTGATATTCAGTAGTAAAGTTCGACTTACGACCATTTCGACTTACGACCGGTTTCTCGGAACCGAACTCGGTCGTAAGTCGGATGGTAGGTGTATATTAAGCTAATGTGACAGTCACAGAAATTATTCAGGAACAATGGATGGGCAGATTCATTGATCTAGTTTTTCAGGTTTTTGATGCTGGGGAGGCTCTTGATACAAGGAATTGTACCTGTCCACCCTTTCATATAATGGAACCTGATTGTCTGCCATTCCCCAAGCACTGTATGATCCTTAAGGGTTTAGAGCTTGCCAGTGGATATAATATAGCACAAATAGTGGTGAAAGACTGAAATACTGTAAATTGAAATTGGAGGTAGTAAGTGCTACAACCATCAGGAACTAAAAAAAAAAAAAAAAAAGATGAACATAATAATGAAGATGAGACACCAGTAGTATAGTTCTGTTCCTGTAGCTATGAATAAGCACTTACATAGTTTATCTTTCCACCACCTCATTTTCTTATCATGACATACATTCAGTGGCCACTTTATTAGATACACCCTTCTGGTACTGAGCATGGCACCCATTTGCCCTTACAACAGCCTGAATTCTTTGTGGCATGGATTCAACAAGGCACTGGAGACATTCTTTAGGGATTCTGGTTCATGATGACATGATAACATCGTACAGTTGTTGCAGATTTGTCAGCTGCACATTTATGCTGTGAATCTCCCATTTCATCACATCCCAAAAGTTTATGCCAAATTCTGACCTTACCACCTGCATGTCACAGTAGGAATTATGATTCATCAGACCAGATGACATTTTTCCAATCTTCAGCTGTCCAGATTTGGTGAGCCTGTACCCACTGTAGCCTTAGTTTCCTGTTCTTAGCTGACAGGAGTGGAACCCAGTGTGATCTTTTGCTGCTGTTCCCATCCACTTCAAGGTTCAATGTGTTGTGCATTCAGAAATGCTCTTCTGTATACTACTGTTGTAATGTTTACTTGGAGAGGGTTTCAGGGGTTAATGCCCCCGTGGCTCAGTCTGAGACCAGGCCTCGTGGTGGATCAGGGTCTGATTAACCAGGCTGTTACTACTGGCTGCACACAAACTGACGTATGAACCACAGCCCGGTTGGTCACGTTCTGACTTTAGGTACCTGTCCAGTGCCTTCTTGAAGACAGCCAGGGGTCTATAGGTAATCCCCCTTATTTATGCTGGGAGGGAGTTGAACATTCGTGGGCCCCAGACACTTATTGTGTTGTCTCTCAGTGTACTCATGGTGCCCCTGCTTTTTATCAGGAATGTTGCATCTCCTGCCGAGTCTTTTGCTTTCATAGGGAGTGATTTTCACGCGCAAGTTTGGTACTAATCCCTCTAGGATTTTCCAAGTGTATATTATCATGTATCTCTCTCGCCTGCGCTCCAGGGAATACAGATCAAGGGCCTTCAACCATTCCCAGTAATTTAGGTGCCTTATCGTATTTATGTGTGCCGTGAAAGTTGTGTGTACACTTTCCAGGTAAGCAGTTTTCCCTGCCTTGAAAGGGGCAGTTAGTGTACAGCAGTATTCCAGCCTATAGAGAACAAGCAATTTAAAGAGAATCATCATGGGCTTGGTGTGTGGTTATTTGAGTTACTGTTGCTTTCCTGTCATCTTGAATCAGTCTGGCTATTCTTCTCTTACCTTTCTTATTATCAAGGTGCTTTTTTTTTTTAGCAAATCGGCCGTATCCCACCAAGGCAGGGTGGCCCAAAAAGAAAAACGAAAGTTACTCTTTTTAAATATAGTAATTTATACAAGAGAAGGGGTTACTAGCCCCTTGCCCCCGGCATTTTAGTCACCTCTTACAACACGCATGGCTTACAGAGGAAGAATTCTGTTCCACTTCCCCATGGAGAAAACAATAATTATAAGATAATAAGAACTGCTGCTCACTGGATGATTGGTTTCTCTCACCATTCTCTGTAGACTGTAGAGACTATTGTGCATGAAAATCCTAGATCAGCAGTTTTTGAGATACTCAAACTACCCTGTCTGGCACCAATAATCACTATGATCAAAGTTACCTAGATCACATTTCTTCCACATTCTGATTTTTGTCTGAACAACAACTGAACCTCTTGACCATGTCTACATGCTTTTGGGCATTGAGGCACTGCCATGTATTGGCTGATTACATATTTACAGTAATGAGCAGGTGTACCTATTAAAATGGCCACTGAGTGAATAGGATATGTTGTTTCAGTATAGTCTTTGAAAATTTTTTACACCATATCATTGCCACATATTTTCTGTCCAATAATAATTCACATTCAAATTCAAATTCTTTGCATAGTATACAATGTGTAGTTTACATGTAGTAAAATATTGTGATGCACAAAGAAAGCTACTTATATGCATGAGCATACATGATGTGTAAAATTAAATATAAAATTGATAATGTAGTACATTGGATCCACACTTGTAATTACCATAGTATATAGTTCTGAACTCTTAGCATACATTTCTGCAGAATAAAAACACCATGTCATTTCTAACACCACACATATAATATTCAAACATACTGTACTGCACTGTATCTATGAATTATCTGGGGTTCGAAGCAATTTGTCCTGCTTAAGCCATTTTGTGCATAATTTTTTTTTTTAACATTTGGTAAAACAGTATTTGCCTTTCAGTTAAGATTTGTGTGCATGAGTGACACGCATTGCCTCACCTCCCACCTTCAGTTTGAGATCCCTGATGGAGATGTCTTTGTTCATGCTGGAGACTTTACACGGTGTGGCAGTGCAATAGAAATTGAAGAATTCAACAGTTGGATAGGTGAGGTTTTAACTGAAGTATGTGTTTGTTTTGTTAAATTGCATATTGGTTATGGTATTTAATATTATTTTTTAAATATAGTGACACAGATCTTTTTAAGTTACTAATACAGTACAGCATTTTATGTTGAGCAATTTGTCAAGATGTGTGTTTTTATTTCCTCTGTCTTTTACATTAAATAATTAGTCTGCTTATTTAATTTTAGCATGAATTAATTTATTTCTATGTCTCCCTCTCTGTATATCTATACACTATGACTCAAGGTCAGAATCCCAGTGGTAACTCTTGAAGGCATTAACCATGACATAATGCTTCTATTGTGCACTTTGTCAAGTGGTAGGTTGGTAAGTTATGTGGTAGGTTGGTAAATTAGGTAGTAAGTTGGTAAGTTAGGTGGTAGGTTGGTAAATTAGGTGACGATAGGTTGGTAAGTTAGATGATAGGTTGATAAGTCAGATAATTTTTTTTTTTATGTGCTGGGAGGATTGCCAATTTTTTATTCTTACTGTCTCATGAACATGTAAGATGGCAAACTTCTACTTTTTTTTTTTTTTCAACAAGTCGGCCGTCTCCCACCGAGGCAGGGTGATTTCTACTTACTTCTACTTACATTCAATATATACATACCTTTACTTCCCTATGTGCTTCTTAATAGTTCTTAATCCCATAATATTTACTTTCCATTCTAGGAGACCTGGTCTTGGACCAGGCTGTTGGAAGGATTATCCCCAGAACCTTTAATGGAAAACAGGTACCATGACTAAGTGAAAGTCTGTAGCTTGGCACATGTGTGCAGTATAAGTGATATTAAAACATTTACTATGTTTCAGGTTCACTTCCTCACAAGCATAAAGTGGTTATTGCTGGAAACCATGAACTTAGTTTTGATCCCAAGTTTACATGCGGCCCAGCAGCCCGACAGCAACACAAAAACGCACACACAGGTACTTTCCAAGTTTTTAAAATGTGCACATGATACAGTATCTTATATTTTTTTGCTAATGGATAGATTTTCCTTTTTTGAGATGAATACAATATGGTACTTGAAAATATTTTTTTTCACTCTTTGCTTTCAGACAACAACTTGAGAATACAGTGGACCCCTGACTTATGATATTAATTCATTCCAGAAGTCTGTTCGGGTGCCGTTACCGAACGAATTTGTTCCCATAAGGAATATTGTAAATTAGATTAGTCCGTTTCAAACCCCCAAAAATACACGTACAAAAGCACTTATAAAAATACACTTACATAATTTTCGAGTTGGGAGCTTATTGTAAGGTGGGGGTCCACTGTATTAGCACACTTGTCCTAGTGCCCAAGAAAAAATTTTCATTACTGGACAGTAACAACAAATTTGCTGTTTTGCTTCCCTTTTGGTACACACTTTACTTAATATTAGGCAATGTGCAGAAGAGATAACATTTATGTAGTGAAGGGATTTTTTTTTTTTAACATGTCAGCCATTTCCCATTGAGGTAGGGTGACTTAAAAAGAAAGAAAAAACTTTCATCATCATTCAGCACTTTCACCATGACTTACATATAATCACTGTCTGCAGAGGCACTCAGATACAACAGTTTAGACATCCCTTCAAACTGCCAATATCCCAGACCCCTCCTTTAAAGTGCAGGTATTGTATTTCCCACCTCTGGCTCACCAGTTTCCCTGAATCCCTTAACAAAATATTAACCTGTTCACATTTCACCAGCTCGTCAGGTTCCAAAAACCATTCATCTCCATTCACTCCTATCTAACATGCTCACCCATGTCTGCTGTATGTCAAGCCCGCACACAAAAGCTCTCTTACTGCCTCCATCCTTTCCTATGATGACCCCTACTCCTCCTCCCTTCCACTACAGATTTATACTTCCAAGTCATCCTATTTTGTTCCAGTGTTACAATAATAGTGACAGCCTTAGATGTCATTGTAACACAAAGAGTATACATGTATATAAAACACTCAGTATCTTTAAGATACTTGAAACTTTATAAAGTTTCCAGACATAATCAAGAGAGATGTGGAGCTCATGGAGGATGTAAACAAACAGAATGGTGTGCAGATGCTGTAATAACGAGTCAGGAGCCATATAAAAAAATTTTTGGGTGTAATCTGAAATGTCTGTATTAGTAAAGTGCCATAAAATGGGGCACTCTTGTACTGTACAGTAATCGGAATTGCTCTTCTACAGTCATTTGCAAATTTTGAAGTATGATCAAAATTAAAAGTTTTGGAAAATATTCTGTTGGCAAATGTCTACATTTGAGAACTTTTCCAGATTTAAACTCTTCATTAAAAATATTAAATTTTCTAAACTTTTACCAAATTTTTAATTTCCAAAATTTGAAATATTATTCTAAATTATTACTCTTCTTTTCAGAATTTGGGAAATTTAAATATAAAAAATCTGAATAAGCAAAATTATTGTAAATTAGTTTAATTTATCAATGTTTATATTTGGGCAACTGGTGGAGGACTGATAAACGAGATCCCTGACTTGGGCATAGAGCGTGCAAAGCTGAAGGCTGCCGTTGAAGCAGAAAACACCGTCAACTTGATCACCAATGCTACATATTTACAGGATGAACCTCTTACTATATGTGGCATTAAGCTCTATGGAACACCCTGGTATGTATGAAAATTATTTCTTCAAGCTCTGCAGTTTATCATAGTTTTAAGATATGGTATACGTATATTTAATCTTGATCATCTATAATGTTTAAAGGTAGTAGGTTGGTAGACAACAATCACCCAGGAAGGTACTACCGTCTTGCCAAGTGAGTGTAAAACGAAAGCCTGTAATTGTTTTACATGATGGTAGGATTGCTGGTGTCCTGTCTGTCTCATAAATATGCAAGATTGCAGGTACGTCTTGCTACTTCTACTTACACTTAATTCACACTACACATACGTGTACAAGCATATATATACACACCCCTCTGGGTTTTCTGCTATTTTCTTTCTAGTTCTTGTTCTTGTTTATTTCCTCTTATCTCCATGGGGAAGTGGAACAGAATTCTTCCTCCGTAAGCCATGCGTGTTGTAAGAGGCGACTTAACTGCCGGGAGCAAGGGGCTAGTAACCCCTTCTCCTGTATATATTACTAAATGTAAAAGGAGAAACTTTCGTTTCTCCTCTTGGGCCACCCCGCCTCGGTGGGATACGGCCGGTGTGTTGAAAAAAGGAAGGATCTATAATGTTTATATGAAAAATATTTGGATTAAAGTTGTTTGTATATGACACACTTCTGAATGTAAGTAATTTAGACAAGTAATTAAGTCATGTAGTTTACATACTGTACCAAAGAATGAGAAATTAAAATAATTGACAACTGAGTATATATTGAGTGAGAGCACAAGATATTATACTAAAGATAAACTATATACAGTGGACCCCCGGTTTACAATATTATTTCATTCCAGAAGTATGTTCAGGTGCCAGTAGTGAACGAATTTGTTCCCATAAGGAATATTGTGAAGTAGATTAGTCCATTTCAGACCCCCAAACATACACGACTAAACGCACTAACATAAATACACTTACATAATTGGTTGCATTGGGCGCTGATCGTAAAGCGGGGGTCCACTGTAATTATTAAAGAGTCCATAACTAAAATATCAGAGAATGGAAGAAGCTGAGTTAGTGCAGTGTTTGAGCTAGGTGATAAAAGTTAGATTATATGTTGGTGGATAAAAGGTTGATGGGTAGGCTTCAGGATGTACATGTTTATAGAGGGGCAACTGATATATCGGATAATTATTTGGTTGTAGCTACAGAATAAGAGGTAGATGGGACAAAAGGAAAATGGCAAAAACAAGTAAGAGAGAGTTGAAAGTGTATAAACTAAGTGAGGAGGAAGTTAGGGTGAGATATAAGCAACTATTGGCAGAAAGGTGAGCTAGTGCAAGTATGAGTAGTGGGGAGGTTGAAGAGGTTTGGAATAGTTTTAAAAATGCAGTATTAGAATGTGGGGCAGAAGTTTGTGGCTATAGGAGGGTGGGTGCAGGAGGAAAGAGGAGTGATTTGTGGAATGATGAAGTAAAGGGTGTGATAAAAGAGAAAAAGGTAGCTTATGAGAGATTTTTACAAAGAAGAAGTGTTATAAGAAGAGCAGAGTATATGGAGAGTAAAAAGAAAGGTGAAGAGAGTGGTGAGAGAGTGTAAAAGGAGAGCAGATGATAGAGTGGGAGAGGCACTGTCAAGAAATTTTGATGAAAATAAGAAAAAAATTTGGAGTGAGATAAACAGGTTAAGAAAACCTTGGGAACGAATGGATTTGTCAGTTAAAAACAGATTAAGGGAGTTAGTAGATGGGGAGATGGAGGTATTGGGTAGATGGCGAGAATATATTGAGGAACTTTTAAATGTCGATGAAGAAAGGGAGTCAGTAATTTCATGCACTGGCCAGGGAGGTATACCATCTTTTAGGAGTGGTGGAGAGCAGGATGTGAGTGTGGAGGAGATGCATGAGGCATTACATAGAATGAAAGTGAGTAAAGCAGCTGGAACTGATGGGATAATGACAGAAATGTTAAAAGCATGGGGAGATATAGTGTGTGTGATGAATGGTTTTGAAAACCGACAAGTTGAAGAATTGAGACACTTACGTAACATACGGGAATCTTTATTGAAGAAATGTTTCGCCACACAGTGGTTTTAACAGTCCAATACAAAGTAGAAAGAAGGGAATGTATGAAAGTACAGTGGTACCAACACTCTTATATGGGAGTGAAGCTTAGGTTGTAAATGCTGCAGCAAGGAGGCGGTGGAGATGTCTTGTCTAAGGGCAGTGTATGGTGTAAATATTATGCAGAGAATTCGGAGTGTAGAAATTAGGAGAAGGTGTGAAGTTAATAAAAGTATTAGTCAGAGGGCTGAAGAGGGGTTGTTGAAGTGGTTTGGTTATTTAGAGAGAATGGATCAAAGCAGAATGACATGGAGAGCATATAAATCTGTAGGGGAAGGAAGGCGGGGTAATGTCGTCCTCGAAAATGTTGGAGGGAGGAGGTAAAGGAGGTTTTGTGGGCGAGGGGCTTGGACTTCCATTAAGCATGCATGAGCGTGTTAGATAGGAGTGAATAAGGACAAATGGTATTTGGGACCTGATGAACTGTTGGAGTGTGAGCAGGGTAATATTTAGTAGGTTGGTAGACAGCAACCACCCAGGGAGGTACTACCGTCCTACCAAGTGAGTGTAAAACGAAAGCCTGTGATTGTTTTACATGATGGTAGGATTGCTGATGTCTTTTGTCTGTCTCATAAATATGCAAGATTACAGGTATGTCTTGCTACTTCTACTTACACTTAGGTCACACTACACATACATGTACACATTTATTTATACACACTCATCTGAGTTTTATTATGGGGAATCAAATTCAAAATGGGAATTGACACAGTTACTTTTTGCTGATGATACTGTGCTTATGGGAGATTCTAAAGAAAAATTGCAAAGGTTAGTGGATGAGTTTGAGAATGTGTGTAAAGGTAGAAAGTTGAAAGTGAACATAGAAAAGAGTAAGGTGATGAGGGTATCAAATGATTTAGATAAAGAAAAATTGGATATCAAATTGGGGAGGAGGAGTATGGAAGAAGTGAATGTTTTCAGATACTTGGGAGTTGACGTGTCGGCGGATGGATTTATGAAGGATGCGGTTAATCATAGAATTGATGAGGGAAAAAAGGTGAGTGGTGCGTTGAGGTATATGTGGAGTCAAAAAACGTTATCTATAGAGGCAAAGAAGGGAATGTATGAAAGTATAGTAGTACCAACACTCTTATATGGATGTGAAGCTTGGGTGGTAAATGCAGCAGCGAGGAGATGGTTGGAGGCAGTGGAGATGTCCTGTCTAAGGGCAATGTGTGGTGTAAATATTATGCAGAAAATTCGGAGTGTGGAAATTAGGAGAAGGTGTGGAGTTAATAAAAGCATTAGTCAGAGGGCAGAAGAGGGGTTGTTGAGGTGGTTTGGTCTTTTAGAGAGAATGGATCAAAGTAGAATGACATGGAAAGCATATAAATCTATAGGGGAAGGAAAGAGGGGTAGGGGTCGTCCTCGAAAGGGTTGGAAAGAGGGGGTAAAGGAGGTTTTGTGGGTGAGGGGCTTGGACTTCCAGCAAGCGTGCATGAGCGTGTTAGATAGGAGTGAATGGAGACGAATGATACTTGGGACCTGACGATCTGTTGGAGTGTGAGCAGGGTAATATTTAGTGAAGGGATTCAGGGAAACCGGTTATTTTCATATAGTCGGACTTGAGTCCTGGAAATGGGAAGTACAATGCCTGCACTTTAAAGGAGGGGTTTGGGATATTGGCAGTTTGGAGGGATATGTTGTGTATCTTTATATGTGTATGCTTCTAAACTGTTGTATTCTGAGCACCTCTGCAAAAACAGTGATAATGTGCGAGTGTGGTGAAAGTGTTGAATGATGATGAAAGTATTTTCTTTTTGGGGATTTTCTTTCTTTTTTGGGTCACCCTGCCTCGGTGGGAGACGGCCGACTTGTTGAAAAAAAAAATAAAAAAAAAATTCAGGGGAAACCAGTTATTTTTATATAGCCGGACTTGAGTACTGGAAATGGGAAGTACAATGTCTGCACTTTAAAGGAGGGGTTTGGGATATTGGCAGTTTGGAGGGATATGTTGTATGTATATCTTTATACATATATATGCTTCTAAAGTGTTGTGTTCTGGGCACCTCTACAAAAACAGTGATTATGTGTGAGTGAGGTGAAAGTGTTGAATGATGATGAAAGTATTTTCTTTTTGGAGATTTTCTTTCTTTTTAGGTCACCCTGCCTCGGTGGGAGATGGCCAACTTGTTAAAAAATATATATATATAGATCAGGGTGAAAATTCATAAATTACTTTATTTATATTTTTTATAATAAAAAGAAGGTAATGTAAAGAGGAAGACTAGAGACTTTGTGTAATATTTTATTTTTATAAAAAAAAAAAATGGATTTTAAAGGTTTTATGTGCTATATGCTATAACAACTAGTATATTTTAGTGATTTCTGGCCTTCCTTTTCCAGATTCCCATCTTTTTATTTACTTTTTGCTCTTCTCTACAGGCAACCCGAGTTTTGCAACTGGGCATTTAATTTACCGAGGGGTAAGCAGTGTTTAGATAAATGGGATGCTATACCTGCTGAAACCGATGTCCTTATCACTCACACTCCGCCTGTTGGTCATGGAGACTTGTGCTGTACAGGGGTCAGGGCTGGATGTGTTGAGCTGCTTTCAACTGTTCAAAGCCGGGTCAAACCCAAATACCACGTATTTGGTCATATTCATGAAGGTTAGTTAATTCATTGAGGAGTTTTCAAGTAGTCAGCTTTATTCAAAAGGATTGATCAGTTACGGTAAATATGAAAGACTACACTTCTCCGAAGAACATTTATAATAATATGGTTTGTTATTTGTGTAAATACAGCATGTTAAATTTGAAAAAGTGCTTCATTACAAATAATGAGTAACTCAAATTGTTGCGTAATGGCATAATTGCTTCATTAACCTGTTAGCTGGACTTAGAGTCCTGGAGGTGTGAAATACAGTGCCTTCACTCTGAAGTAGGGGTGGGGATATTTACAGTTTTGAACTGTAGTATTGGTGCTCCTCTGGCAAGACAGTGATGGAGTGATTGATGGTGAAAAAGTTTCTTCTTTTTTTTTTGGGGAGTCACCTTACCTCGGTGGGAGATGGCCGGTCTATTGAAAAAAAAAAAATCAGGAGATTGGAAGTGACTTTTATTTAGCTACCAGAGTTCTTGAATTAGAATTATCAGTATAGTACTAGTAAATTATGATTAAATTATCATTTATATAAATTCACAGAACAGATATTTTCATGCAATTTTAACTTGAGCTGGAGAAATTAGTTTATAAGAGTATGTACTGTAATTTGAGTTTTGTTGTATTGATATTCTTGACTTCAAAATTTTAAGTACATACTGTAATAATGTTCCTTTAGAATTGTGGAAAGCATGTTGTGTACAGCCCTGTCCCAAGCTGTAAATAATACACTTTGTATCTCTACATAAATCATACCCTGGAAGCAAACTGTGTGTTCATGGTTTCTCATAGACCATAAACCCCAGCACCCTGTAACTCAGTATATACAAGAGGCATAATATTTTTGTGCCTTAAAGCCTTCAAGAGGCATAGGAGTTGTAATTCGGCTCTCTTAAGAGATCTGGGAGCCATAGCTCAGATTTACCAAGCAGTCTATGAAGAAAAAAAGGCACAATACCATGACTGGAACAGTACACAAATAACCCACACATAGGATACTGATGACATTTTGGTTTGACTTGGACTATTGTGACTAGTTAACCCTTTGAAGGTCGACAGGCCCTCTCCGAAACTCGTTCTCAGGGTCGGCCAAATTTAAAAAAAAAAAATAATTTTCTCTTATGAAAAGATAGAGAATCTTTTCCCGATCATAAGGACACCAAAAGTTTGAAATTTGATGGAAAACTTACGGAATTATGCTCTCGCGAAGTTAGCGGTCTCGGGGATGTTTACGCATCGGCGATTTTGTCCACTTTGAGCCCCATTTTCGGCCAATTCCACTGTACTAGTCGACAAAAAACATGAATATTTCGCTAGAACTCCATTTTTTCTATCGAATGGATGCAAAGTTCTAAATGTTGGACAGGACAATAACAGTGCCACATATAAACTAAATAACATTATGTAGATCTTAATATTACGGATTGCGAACTGGAAAATGTACAAAGGAGGATGACAAAGTTGATCCCATGTATCAGAAACCTTCTCTATGAGGATAGACTAAGGGCCCTGAATCTGTACTCTCTAGAAAGACGTAGAATTAGGGGGGATATGATTGAGGTGTATAAATGGAAGACAGGAATAAATAAAGGGGATGTAAATAGTGTGCTGAAAATATCTAGCCTAGACAGGACTCGCAGCAATGGTTTTAAGTTAGAAAAATTCAGATTCAAGAAGGATATAGGAAAGTACTGGTTTGGTAATAGAGTTGTGGATCAGTGGAACAAACTCCCAAGTACAGTCCTAGAGGCCAGAACGTTGTGTAGCTTTAAAAATAGGTTGGATAAATACATGAGTGGGTGTGGGTGGGTGTGAGTTGGACCTGATTAGCTTGTGCTACCAGGACGGTTGCCGTGTTCCTCCCTTAAGTCAAGGTGACCTGACCTGACTAGGTTGGGTGCATTGGCTTAAGCCGGTAGGAGACTTGGACCTGCCTCGCATGGGCCAGTAGGCCTGCTGCAGTGTTCCTTTGTTCTTATGTTCTTAAGAAACCACCCATTTATGAAATTCAACTATCCAGTATAGTGGTCAGAATTTAGCAATTTTGCCAATTTCATACAAATTTCAAAAGATGCCAATTTCCGAATAGGGTCCAGAATAAACAAGAAGACATTCCTGGCACTAAAATGACATTTCCTCTGGTCATTAGTCACGTCTCAAGGCCCCTCTTATATTCTTTTGCTTTCCACTTTGAATTTTTATTCTCACAAAAAATATAAGATTTACTGTTATGCAGACTACTGCATTAGTGTAAAAAATGGTATAAATATTATTGGCGCACTTGTGAAAGAATATTAGACTCAACAGTTGACGTGTATTGGACCATTGGCACGATTTGTTTACTTTTGAAATTTGGTAAAAATCGAACATTTCTGCTACTTTGAGCTCAATTTCAAGGTATCTTTCATTGTAAAACCAGTCAAAATTATCTCAATTTCTGTAATATGTCTTCCATTCTATAAAATGAGACCAAGAAAACTAGAATACAACAATAAATACCATACAAAAATACAGTGCAAAGTCGCTGTTTTATTCCAAAAAAACGGTCAAAGTTTTTTTTTTCTCATTATGCACTGTGTGCTGCAGGATTTTTTTTAGACTGTGCACACTGACCACATAGACCCATTCTTTCATATGAAGGCCTACCAGCTTTCTCCCACTAGATTTGAGGGCGCTAGAATTTAGGCGTACTAGTACGTCAAAAACCCTGGGTCGTAAGCCGTACTAGTACGTCCGAAACCCTCAAAGGGTTAATGGTCTAGGTGAGATCAAAACATAGTCATAAGTTTCAGTTGCCTATGTGCAGGTTATTTGTGTACGAGATCTGTGAGCTGGAGATCAACACCTTCAAGAGGCCTAGAAGTTTTTAACTTAGCACTATATGGCCAAGGCATTTGAAAGGGAAGCACCTTAATACCAGTAAAGGGCTCTTGATTCAAGGAACTGGATATATTCTTCTTTTTCATGAACTGAACCTGAAGGTTTCATACCGCATGTGCTATATGACCCTTGCAGATTTAGCACTCTCATCTAATTAAAAAAATGTTTACCTCAGCAATCTGAAAAAGCTAACTTTACTAAATTTGTCAGAGTTCATCAAGCTATAAAAATGTGAATTTTCATTTTTTATCTTTCTTTTCGTAGTTATGTTTAACCAGAAAAGCTTTAGAAAAACAAAAAAACTGGGGAAGCTAACCGTGTGACTTTGTAAATGGTCCAAGTTGAACCAAAACATCATCATAAGTACCTCCTCTCTTTTGTGTGGGTCATTTGTGTATTCAACATACTATAAAAATTATTTTTCCTTTTTCTTTTTTTTTATTAACACATCGGCCATTTCCCACCAAGGCAGGGTGACCCAGAAAAGAAAAAAACACTTTCATCATCATTCATCACTGTCTTGCCAGAGGCATGCCTACACTACAGTTATATAACTGCAACTTATCAACATCATTTTTTCAAATAGCTGGCTAAAGCAGTTCTACTAACACTGCATAGATTAAGGGTTAAAATAAATTTTCCAAATTGACACTTACATAGTCCAGTTACATTCCAGACCTTCACTGAAAGTTTGAATCTAATAACTCTAATTCTAATTCATTTATTAATAGTATGGAAACCAATACCACACTTCCTCAATAAAATTGGCACCTGTACACCCCAAAACCAATCCAAACCTTTTTTTAAGTGTTGAAAATTTGAAGTGAGTCAAAAGAGGCATTCTCCAGTTATTGCATGGAAACCAATATTTCAATTTGTGTTAAGTTTCATCTCCAAATTGTGGGTTGTGAATTTTTCCACTGACTTATTCCTTTTCAGGCTATGGTGTGACCAGTGATGGAAAGATAATTTTCATTAATGCCTCCACATGCAACATCAACTATGTTCCTGTCAACCCACCTATTGTGTTTGATGTTCCCATTCCACCTGGGTTCTCAAAATGACCTCCCCACTAAGCTAGTTAATATAGGTTTGTTTGTGTTTATAACCATTTATTTGGACACTGATCTTAGTAATTTTTGTCTACCTATCTATATATTTTAGCAGTCTACCTAAGTGTGTGGTTTAATTAAATTTGATTCATAATTTATTGTCTGCATTTAATTATATTTTCTTTTGAAATTATATTTTGTGCAAAAGTTATAGAACTATTACAAAGAAAGCACAGATTTTGAAAATAAATCAAGAACAGAAAGGTACAATCCTGAGACTGGAATAATACACAAATATCCCACACATAGGAAAGAGAAGCTATGATGATGTTTCAGTCAGACTTGTAAATGGTCCAAGTCAGACCAAGACGTAATCATAAGCCCCCTCTCTCTCCTATGTGCAGATTATTTGTGTAAAGAATTGAATGCCTGCCTTGGGATCTGCGACAAGTGTATTACATAAATAAAAATGATCTGCTTGTTGAAGACGATCGAGGAGTAAGAATCAAAATACAATACAGTAGAACCCCCATATCCACTGATTCAGTATCCATGGTTTCAGTTATCCACAGTTTATTATGGCCTAAAAATACCTCTTAACCCCTTGACTGTTGCAACCCCAAATCCTGAGGTGTCTTCTGGTGTTGCAAAATTTCCGAAAAACAAAAATTATTTTTCTTACGAAATGATAGAGAATCTTTTCCTGATTGTAATGACACCAAAAGAACGAAATTTGACGGACTTATGCTCTCGCGAAATTAGCAACCTCGGCGATATTTACGAATCGGCGATTTCGCCCACTATTTTTGGCTAATTCCATTGTTCCATTCGAACAAACTCACAGCTATTTCTTTAGAACTTCATTTTTTCTATCGATTGAGTACAAGAAACTGCCCATTTACCGATTTCAACTACCCAATAACGTGGTCAGAAATTTGCAATTTGGCCAGTTTCACAAAAATTAAAAAAATATGACAATTTCAAAATAGAGTTCAGAATGAACAGTGCAGACATTCCTGGCTCTAAAATAACATTTTCTTTGTTCATCAGTCACGTCTCCAGGCCCCTCTGATATTACTCTTGCTTTCTATTTTGAATTTTTATTCAAACAAAAAATAGAAGATTTACTGTTATGCAGACTATTGCAATATTGTAATAATTGTATAATTAATGTCACCTCATTCATGACTGCATATTAGAATGGTTACTTGGACATTTATTGGAAAATGACATCATTTGTTTACTTTTGAACATTGGCAAAAATCAAACATTTCTGCTACTTTGAGCTCCATTTCAAGGTTCCTTTCATAGTAAAACCAATCAAAATCACCTTTATTTCTATAATATGTTTTTCATTTTATCAAATGAGACCAAAGAAACGAGAATACAACCATAAATACTATACGAAAATAGACCACAAAGTCGGCATTTTAATTAAAAAAAACGGTAGGTTTTTTTTTCTCATTATGGACTGCGCGCTGAAGGATTTTTTTTATATGGTGCGCACTGACTGCACAGACCCATTCTCTCACATGTGGGCCTACCAGCTTTCTCCTGCTTGATTTGAAGCCGCTAAAATTTATAAGTATATATACGTCAAACACGGTGGCTCGTAAGACGTATATATATGGCCGAAACAGCCAAAGGGTTAATTTTGCATAATAATGGCCCCAAAGTGCAAAAGCAGAAAAGCTGGCAGTTCTTCAAAGCCTAACAGAAGCCTTGAAGTGCTTCCTATCAATGAAAAAGTGATAATTCTCCACTTATTGTGCATAATTTATCAATTAAACTTTATAATAGGCATGTATAGGACTTATATCTAAGGTTTGCTACTATGCACGGTTTCGATATCCATGGCAGTTCCTTGGAACATATCCCTTGTGGATACAGGGGTTCTACTGTATACAGTTTTTATTTTGTTGTATTTTCAGAGTATGTGTTATCTTTGTAATATGTGTCATAATGTTATACTACTTTTAGATGATTTATGTAAGCATGTAGATGGGATACAAGGAGAATAGAAGCATCAGGGAAGAGAGAGGTGAAGGTTTATAAACTAAAAGAGGAGGCAGTTAGGGAAAGATATAAACAGCTATTGGAGGATAGATGGGCTAATGAGAGCATAGGCAATGGGGTCGAAGAGGTATGGGGTAGGTTTAAAAATGTAGTGTTAGAGTGTTCAGCAGAAGTTTGTGGGTACAGGAAAGTGGGTGCGGGAGGGAAGAGGAGCGATTGGTGGAATGATGATGTAAAGAGAGTAGTAAGGGAGAAAAAGTTAGCATATGAGAAGTTTTTACAAAGTAGAAATGATGCAAGGAGGGAAGAGTATATGGAGAAAAAGAGAGAGGTTAAGAGAGTGGTGAAGCAATGTAAAAAGAGAGCAAATGAGAGAGTGGGTGAGATGTTATCAACAAATTTTGTTGAAAATAAGAAAAAGTTTTGGAGTGAGATTAACAAGTTAAGGAAGCCTAGAGAACAAATGGATTTGTCAGTTAAAAATAGGAGAGGAGAGTTATTAAATGGAGAGTTAGAGGTATTGGGAAGATGGAGGGAATATTTTGAGGAATTGTTAAATGTTGATGAAGATAGGGAAGCTGTGATTTCGTGTATAGGGCAAGGAGGAATAACATCTTGTAGGAGTGAGGAAGAGCCAGTTGTGAGTGTGGGGGAAGTTCGTGAGGCAGTAGGTAAAATGAAAGGGGTAAGGCAGCCGGGATTGATGGGATAAAGATAGAAATGTTAAAAGCAGGTGGGGATATAGTTTTGGAGTGGTTGGTGCAATTATTTAATAAATGTATGGAAGAGGGTAAGGTACCTAGGGATTGGCAGAGAGCATGCATAGTTCCTTTGTATAAAGGCAAAGGGGACAAAAGAGAGTGCAAAAATTTTAGGGGGATAAGTCTGTTGAGTATACCTGGTAAATAGTATGGTAGAGTTATTATTGAAAGAATTAAAAGTAAGACTGAGAATAGGATAGCAGATGAACAAGGAGGCTTTAGGAAAGGTAGGGGGTGTGTGGACCAGGTGTTTACAGTGAAACATATAAGTGAACAGTATTTAGATAAGGCTAAAGAGGTCTTTGTGGCATTTATGGATTTGGAAAAGGCGTATGACAGGGTGGATAGGGGGGCAATGTGGCAGATGTTGCAGGTGTATGGTGTAGGAGGTAGGTTACTGAAAGCAGTGAAGAGTTTTTACGAGGATAGTGAGGCTCAAGTTAGAGTACATAGGAAAGAGGGAAATTATTTCCCAGTAAAAGTAGGCCTTAGACAGGGATGTGTGATGTCACCGTGGTTGTTTAATATATTTATAGATGGGGTTGTAAGAGAAGTAAATGCGAGGGTCTTGACAAGAGGCGTGGAGTTAAAAGATAAGGAATCACACATAAAGTGGGAGTTGTCACAGTTGCTCTTTGCTGATGACACTGTGCTCTTGGGAGATTCTGAAGAGAAGTTGCAGAGATTGGTGGATGAATTTGGTAGGGTGTGCAAAAGAAGAAAATTAAAAGTGAATACAGGAAAGAGTAAGGTTATGAGGATAACAAAAATATTAGGTGATGAAAGATTGGATATCAGATTGGAGGGAGAGAGTATGGAGGAGGTGAATGTATTCAGATATTTGGGAGTGGACGTGTCAGCGGATGGGTCTATGAAGGATGAGGTGAATCATAGAATTGATGAGGGAAAAAAGGGTGAGTGGTGCACTTAGGAGTCTGTGGAGACAAAGAACTTTGTCCTTGGAGGCAAGAGGGGAATGTATGAGAGTATAGTTTTACCAACACTCTTATATGAGTGTGAAGCATGGGTGATGAATGTTGCAGCGAGGAGAAGGCTGGAGGCAGTGGAGATGTCATGTCTGTGGGCAATGTGTGGTGTGAATATAATGCAGAGAATTCTTTAGTTTGGAAGTTAGGAGGAGGTGCGGGATTACCAAAAACTGTTGTCCAGAGGGCTGAGGAAGGGTTGTTGAGGTGGTTCGGACATGTAGAGAGATGGAGTGAAACAGAATGACTTCAAGAGTGTATCAGTCTGTAGTGGAAGGAAGGCGGGGTAGGGGTCGGCCTAGGAAAGGTTGGAGGGAGGGGGTAAAGGAGGTTTTGTGTGCGAGGGGCTTGGACTTCCAGCAGGCGTGCGTGAGCGTGTTTGATAGGAGTGAATGGAGACGAATGGTTTTTAATACTTGACGTGCTGTTGGAGTGTGAGCAAAGTAACATTTATGAAGGGGTTCAGGGAAACCAGCAGGCCGGACTTGAGTCCTGGAGATGGGAAGTACAGTGCCTGCACTCTGAAGGAGGGGTGTTAATGTTGCAGTTTAAAAACTGTAGTGTAAAGCACCCTTCTGGCAAGACAGTGATGGAGTGAATGATGGTGAAAGTTTTTCTTTTTCGGGCCACCCTGCCTTGGTGAGAATCGGCCAGTGTGATAATAAAAAAAAAAATACTAAATGTTTTCAATGAAACTTAATATGAGTATAAAGACTGAAATCATTTTGTAGGTATCATACTGTACTGTATTTGAAATGTTACTTCATAATAGGTGCAGGATTGCATTTTTAGTTTAAGTTAAGTACTGTTGAAAAAAGAAAAAAGAAAATCAAATCATAGTTAAATGTGTGATTTTGCATACCATCTTGTTTACATTATTATTTTGGACTCCATATCTCATATATACATAGAAAATATTTAAAGGCTGTGCATTTAATTTGCACACTAAGATAAAAGCTAAAAGGAGTAGAGATCCAGGAGGAACTGTAGAATAAGCCCAATAATAAGTAGGATCTGTTGTACAAACAATTAGATAGCACTTACTTAACATCCAAGGTCCATGATTCTTTACCTTTCTTCCAGCAATTACTTTTGAAGAAATATTACTAGAATATAAAAAGAAATCTTTGGGAGGAATCAAGACAAGTTCCTGCAGGAAATGTGTAATTAGATATGATGGTTATGTGATCCTAGAAAATGTAGGCAGAAATTAGCTTGGCTTATCAGGCAGCTACCCAGAAGGCTAGCCTCAAGCCAGGCTGCGAGTCAAGTACTAGTCAAAACTGGCATCTTTCAGGCACTTTTATATCTACATAATAGAGCCCAGATTATGAAACAAGAAAACAAATTGCTACAACTATTTATTTATTTGTTTTTTTCAACAAGTCGGCCGTCTCCCACTGAGGCAGGGTGACCCAAAAAGAAAGAAAATCCCCAAAAAGAAAATACTTTCATCATCATTCAACACTTTCACTTCACTCACACATAATCACTGTTTTTGCAGAGGTGCTCAGAACACAACAGTTTAGAAGCATATACGTATAAAGATACACAACATATCCCTCCAAACTGCCAATATCCAAAACCCTTCCTTTAAAGTGCAGGCATTGTACTTCCCATTTCCAGGACTCAAGTCCGGCTATATAAAAATAACCGGTTTCCCTGAATCCATTCACTATTTATATCTTGTATAAATAACACAAAAGGCACAATACCGTGACTGGAACGATACACAAATAACCCGCACATAGAAGAGAGGAGCTTACGACGACATTTCGGTCCAACTTGGACCATTTACAGTCACACTGGTCCAAGTCGGACCAGAACATTGTCAAGCTCCTCTCTTCTATGTGTGGGTTATTTGTGTATATCTTGTATTATTTCATATCTCTCTTGGTATATAACCAAAATTAAGATTCCTTCATATGATGATGCCTGTCCTCACAATAATGTATTTTTTCTGACTACTGTGTGTTGGTTCTGGAGTTTTCTTCCTCTTTGTTTCTAACTTGATTTCTACTTTTGAAATGGTAATTACATTATCAATCTTCACAGAGTTCATTCTTCATGGAAAGCTCTTTTGATGCCAGTGAAGAGCTGCTAATCCAAGGAATAGGAGCTACCATCCATGATAACAATATATTAATATTTCACAAAGAGTTTTATCAATGGTGCTGCAACCCATGTTCAATATTAAAACAGTTTCCATGATGGCTCAGCCAGTATTGAAGCAGTTACTTTCTATTAGTAATTCAATAAAACCTATCATATCGGTAATGTCAGGACTGAGACTGTGATTGCTAATGATATATTTTATGGCATACCATATGTCACTACCCTAAACTTATTTAATATCACCATGAACTTATATACTCTACAATAATTTTTAAAGTTTAATTACAAAATATGGTGAAGTTCATTGACTGAGCAGTTAGTGGCCTGGCAAGAGAGAATGACATTTTGGAAGGCATTATATAAGTAGTTTCCTGTTAAACATTTTGCAGGTCATAACACTAACTAGAGGTCAGATAAACAAAAACATGAATGTGTATTCTGTAGTTATAACAAATGTACACCTGAACACCCCTCCCATGTCAGTGTTTGTTTTGAATTGTAATGAACAAAAAATATGAGAAATGTACAGTACAGATATTGAAAGTTCTTGTTAGTTATTGGGACACTAGATGTGACCCATTATATTATGTGGCATGTATGAAATTATACTGAAATTGCAAAGTAGGGTTCATTAGCCTTACATTTGAGATTACCATTTTTATTAGTATATAAAGGGCACATAGAGCTTCCTGTAGCATTATCTTCTAACCATTAGCTAAGACATAATTGAAAGAAAGAACTCAAACCTAACTATCTTCATAATAAAATGTTTAGAAAGGCAATGCAAACTGCAAATATAGATGTGTGTGAAGCTTAAGTTCATATTTTTAATAAGCAGGAAATGGTATTAATGAGACCCATTTTCTTATTGCATTATAGTACATGCTCCTTGATGTTGGTGAGGGGCTCTTGATTTAGGGAATTGGATCTGTGCTCCAGTTCCCCGAATTAAGCCTGAATGCCTTCCACATCCCCCCCAGGCGCTGTATAATCCTCCGGGTTTAGCACTTCCCCCTTGATTATAATAATAATATAGTACATGCTGTTAAATCTTATTGACTCCCATAATCCTACATTTTAGTAACTTAAAAGGCTTCTGAAAACAGTAGGTCTTGATTTCAAATTTTTGCATTACTTCATGCATGAATTTTACTTAAAAAAGTGATTAATGAAGGAGTATAACTAATGAGATCGTTTCTTAAGTATTGCCTTGAGGGTTTTGTAAATTTTATATTTATGTTTTATAGGAAAAGAGGTTGTATGGGGTTTGCTTCTACTTTTTATAACTTCATTTCATTCCACTTTTACACTATTCTTATATTGAGTTGTTTTCTGACATCCATGGGGCTCATCTGGATCTGTAGTTTCCAATTACGTATGGTACATCGTGATCATATTACATATTTCTCTATCCCTTTAGTGACATAAAAACTAGATCACATTTTTTCTTTGTATCATATTTTCCTCAAATACTTTTGATTTACTCCTGGGAATGTTCCCACATTTCAGTTTGCTTTATACTAGGTGTGGGTTTTACACAGACATTGTATACTCATGTGTTGCACATGTGGGGTAAATAGTGTTTTGGACGAGCCTTTGTCTGAAAGCTGATCTATTCTTTCTGTTTCATGAATGTGTAAGATAGTAGGTAAATCTTGCAAACTCCTATGTGCCTGCAGTATACATATACATATATACTTTTCTTTGTTTCTTAATGTAGTAGTTCTTATTTCTTTAATATTTCTTTCCAAAATTAGGAGACTCAGAATGATTCCTAGAAACATTAGCAGATATAACAGGTTCCTGATTGCTTTTCTTATGGTTGTGAGCTTTGACTGTGCTACTGATGTTACTCTGTTTGTGTGTTTGTAATTACATACAGTATTTGTGACTACCATCCTTAATAGTAGTTACAGGAGCAGAGTTATGCTCATAATATCCAATATTTTAGGTTTACTTTCTTATAGCATTTTGTAAGTTACTGGAGGTTATAATAATTCCACCATCTCTTGATTACATTCCATGCATGCTCATATTTACAGTTGACTGTCGGATAACACAGTAGTTACATTCTTGAGAACAGCATGTAATAAAAAATGAGTGTAAACTAAACTGAAGAACACATGGGAAAAATAGGGTTACTGTGAAATGGAGTGGAAAGAATGCTGGTGTGCCACATTTTTCCCTACATGTACTTTTATAGTGTGTTCACCAAAAATATGCCAAAATTTTCCAACTGTGTTAGAGTGAAATGTGTTAACAGATTGTATGTTACCCGATGGTCTACTGTGGTTATTTTGCAATTATTATAAAAAGTTGACCTGTGTTAGAAAAACCTAGCTTGCTTATAAAATAAACTGCTAGGCTAAAGTGGTAAAATTAAGTTACATTAGGATGCAGCTTAGGGGTTATAATGGAATGTTGAAATAATATCAGTACTTGGAGCTCAATGCATGTATTTCTAGCTTTTGTCTTCATATCATTGTGTAATATATATTTGAAGCATATTGTAATATATATTACCAGTAGTTTTGAATTTTAGTGATTTAATTGCTCAGAATTACAATTTTAAGGTTTGTATTACTATACAAATATTCCTACCACAAGATTAGTGTAGATGAACAACTCAGTTATAAAAGCATTTTATACTCATAGGCTAAGATATGGGATAAAATATATTGAAAGATTTTTGTACTAAGGCATTCTAACAAGTATATTTAATATGTGACTGATCATAAGTTAATGTTCTTCACTTAGCAAGTTAGAAATATTTATACATAGATATGCAGTACTATACCTCATGTTCGGCCAGTGAGTTGTGGAACATGATTGGTTGTGGATCTTGTTTTAGTGTTGAACATGTTTTTAACCAAATGTATCTGATTTACTTTTGAATGTCTGTTAAACAATTTCGGTATAAGAAAAAAATTCTGAATGAATGTTTCTTCTTTTGAACATTTGTCTTTAATTAATTTTTAATTTCTTTCAGTCACAATTATCCATTGATATTAAAAATTCCACTGACGTTTACAGCTGTTATTTTTTCTATGTCTTTGTTATTTTTATCTTGTCCCCACTTCGTCCATTTCCCTAAAATTATGCATTTGTAGCCACCAGCGAAACTATTCTCATGGTGTTCCAAAGTCAATAATTAATCTACTATATAATTTATCATTTCCAAAGGTTGTACCTATTACTGTCTCTTCTTTTAACCCTTTGAGGGTGTATCCTGTAGTTCTATGGCTTTGAAGCCAGGGTCCAAGCCCCAGTACTACATCATGAGCTCAGCTCACTCAGATAAGCTGTGAGCGGTAAATTTGGGCCTAGATATGAGAGAATGCATCTGTGTGGTAAGTATGCGCCATATAAAACAAATCTTGCAGCACGCAGTGCATAATGAGAAAAAACTACAACTGTGTTTTTGTATTAAAACAGCAACTTTGCAGTGTATTTTCATATGGTTTTTACGGTTGTACGTGCAGTTTCTTGGTCTCATTTGATAGAATGGAAGATATATAACAGAAATAGATATGATTTTGATTGGTTTTTGTACTGAAAATAGTTTGAAATTGAGCTCAAAATAGCAGAAATGTTTGATTTTTGCCAATGTTCAAGAGTAAACACATCACATCACGTGTCCAATGCACGTCAACTGGTGGGTCTAATGTGTGTTAACAAATGCACTGATATTATTTATACAATTATTACAATATTACATAACAGTAACTCTTCAATTTTTTTGGTGCGAATAAAAATTCTTTATGAATAAAAAATCAAAATGGAATTCATCTGTAAAGCCTGGAAATGTAACTAATAAACAGAGTAAATGTTATTTTAGTGTCAGGAATGCCTGCATTGTTTATTCTAGACCCTATTTTGAAATTGGAATATTTTGAACCTTGTGTGAAATTGGCCAAATTACCAATTTCTGATCACTTTATTGGGTAGTTGAAATAGTTGATTGGGCAATTTCTTGTGCTCAATAGATAAACTGGGACACATTCTTGCAAAATAGCTAAGAATTTGGTATAATTGAACAGTGTAATTGGCCGAAGATAGGACTGAAAGTGGGCAAAATCACCGATGTTTAAATGTCGCTGATACAACAAAATTCACAAGAGCGTAATTTCGTCATTTTTTTTTTTTTTTTATCAAATTTTGTCAATTTTGTTTTATTACCTTCAGAAAAAGATTCTCTACCATTTCATAAAAAAATATAAATTTTTTTTTTTTTTTAATTCTTGGACCCTGTGGGGAATTTTCAGATTGGGGGTCTGGACCCTCAGAGGGTTAATCAATTCCACTACTATACTGTATATATATACATGTATATATAAAAATTTAGTATACTTAGGGCTGTGTTGGTTAATTGACCAGCTGTGGCAGTTTTGTTCCTTTCATAGTGGCTGCTGGTTTAGTGAGAATGAGATAAATTTATCATGTAATGGCATGATGATAATAGCACAATTCTTGTCAGCTACACTTGGCCTTCACTGCACAAACAACAGCTTTATTTGATGCTAGTCACTAAGATAATTATATTGTCATGTATTGCAGGTGTGTACACTTTCTTGGATTCCTGGAATCTCTGGATTTCAGAAGCATTAGTTACAAATTAGGAAAATCTTAAGAGCAGATTGTAGTACAGTATTTGTTATTTAAAAAGAAATCATGGACAATGTCATAATACTTCTTGAGAAGTGTTTAATATTAGCTATTTCTAAGTTTTTTTTTTTTTAGTAGTGCTACAACCCATATAGCATTTTTGTGAATATTATAATAATGGGATTTTTATAAGAACTGATTATACTTTCACCTTGATAATTGGTGTAATATTAGATTCACCTCAGGAGCTGTTTATTTGTGATTAAGTATTGCTTAGATTCTTTAGCTTTGGCACATAGAAGAGTATAGCAAACATCATAGAGAAGGAAGCAGGAGGCATTAAAAGCAGGTGAACATATGTAAAAAATTATGCTTTCTAATTTGGAAGAAATCACACACATTGCATACTATTTTTGTGCCACTTAACTGGTAAATTGTGCCCTTCCACTGGGAAGATTCTGTAATCTTTCTTAGAAACAAATATTATTCTATAATCTTTCAGTATGGCTTAATCTTGAGCTACAGGCAGTCTGTGATAAAATTATGTTAGTATGTAGACACAGTGCACTTTAATGAGAGGTTTGGGATATTAGCTGTTTGGAGTGACATCTAAATTGGTGCCTCTGCAAAGACTGATTATGTGTGAATGATGGTGAGTGTTTCTTTTTTGGGCCACCCTACCTTGGTGGGAGATGGCTGACATATTGAAAAAAATGTAGAAACACAGCAGAGATGGCTCAGAGGGCTACACATTAAAGTTTAGTGTAGTTTTAAAAATAGGTTAGATAAATACACGAGTGGGTGTAGGTGGGTGCGAGTTGGACCTGACTAGCTTGTGCTACTCGGTCTGATGCCGTGCTCCTTCCTTTAGTAGAAGTGACCTGACTAGGTGGGCCATTGGTTTAAGCTGGGGGGGTGACATGGACCTGCTTCGCATGGGTCAGTAGGCCTGCTGCAGTGTTCCTTCTTTGTTATGTTATTTTGAAATTATGCTGCTGCTCTTGCTTTTGCATATCTGAATTTCTTATCGCTCAGTGAGTCATCACACTTTTCAGAATAACTGCATGGGAGCAAGTTTGAGAAAATCTCTCTTCTCGAGGGTGCCTTGATGCTGGTGAAGGGCTTCTGATCCAAGGAACTGGAGCTACTCTCCCCTTCCTCAAATCAAATCTGATTACCTCACATTGTCATTCACTGTATGATCTTCGCAAGTGTAGCGCCTCCTCATGAACATTATATGAAACTTGATTGTTCAGATTAACATGAGAGCCACACTTCAGTATCAGCCCAGCAAACAATTTAATGTGAATACTTGTTAAATCTGATACATTTTCTAAACTAACATGTATTTTAAGGGCTTACAGTCTTTAAAGCAAATTCTTGTAAAGTGAATAATTATAAAGCAGAAACTGCCTGTCCAGTATGCTCTATGATCTCTACAGGGTTATACAAAAGCAGTGTGTGATTTAATAATTCTTAATGTGATAGTCCTGCTGTGCCTTCCACTGTGAAAAATTGAAGTGGCTATTTGAATCTTAGGAAGAACTTAAATGATGTGCTATTTTTTGGAGTGAAATTTTTAAAGATGGTTTAGAGAAAGTTTTCTTGCAGTCTTCTAGGATAGCAAGTACAGTATAGTCAGGTATAGAGTGTACAGAAAGCTTACTTGCTTGATTAATTCTGTAGAATAGATTGATTTTGTCCCCAATCAGGTTTTTTCAATGGGAGGTGGGGTTTGGCCTGGTGTTGGTGAATGGCTCTTTATCTAAAGAATTGGAGCTTCCCTCCCTTCCCCGGATTAATCGAACCTGATTTTCTAACATTCCCCTGGTGCTGTATGACTACAATGGGTTGACCTCTTGCCCATAAATGATAGTAATACTGTACTGGTAGGATTGTGAATATAATGATACGAAGAGGGAGGAATAGTATGGATAGGCCTGACTCAGAAAGAAATCTAGTAAGTATTATTTTAATGTAGGTGATCCAAAAGTAACATACTTGCCCTTGGTGTGTACAGTGTGGCATTTATATAATTTCTCCTTCTTAATATTGCTATATTCATTTTACAGTGGTGAAAAATGTGTTTATATTGATAGGAACGTAAAAGTCTTATGAATGTATGTTGTATCTGAGTTGGCACTGAGATGCCTATAAAAAGTGATTTGAGAAATAGTTTGAGAAGGGGGAAAAAGTAACATTGAGAGGGGAGGGGATATTATAATCCTAGGATTCAAGTAGATCTGTCAGTGTGCTTTTCTCATACCCATGGGGTCAGTAGTTGGAGACCAATATAATTTTACTCTTGGATACCACATTATTATCTGGGTCACACTACCAGGGTAACTGATGTCTCACAAAGCCTTTATAAAGTAGTAGTGATTTTAAGGCTTGTATATGACCAAGAAAAGTGATGAAAACACTAACTATATATATGTTATTATTGTTATTAAAAAATGAAAGATTCCTTAGAAACACCTTTATGGCAGAAAAATACTGTAGTAGAATATAGTTACTGGAATGGGAAAGCCACATAAAATGTATGTTGATAATGATAAGTGAAGTGTAAGAGGTGAGTGTGGTGGTGTACAAGGTCAATGGATACATCAGAAAATCTAGACAGATAACACTGAACTGATTGCTGAGAAAGGCATTACAAATGTTAGGAGTTTTATTTCTGATTACACAGCATTACTGTACATGTATATAGCCAAATCATTTTTAGCAAGCTAATGATTGTATGTCCTACAGATAGATTGTGGAAAACAGTGTGAGAGTGACTGGAATGACAGGATTTACCTGATGAAAGAACTTAGTATGCAGAATGAATAATTAATTGTTCTGGTAGTGTAGGGGAACCTGTACATTCACTTTATGTAGTAAAAATAAACTGTATGTATGTTACTAAGCTACATGAGTCAACTCTACCCCATATATAATGGGGATGGAAAGGAATTTGATAGGTAATTTGTATTCTATGTTAATGTTTTCTTTTACAGCTATAATATTGTAAAATGCACTTAAGTGCATAGTGAAAATTCGATTCAACTATCCAATGGGGCAGACGATGGTGTCTGATAATGCCCCAAATAATGTTAAAAATAACAACAAAAAAAGCACTACTGTATACATAATAAAAGTACTGTACATATAATTTACTAGTATAATAAACACTGGAAATAGAAAAGTTAAAGAAAAGTTAAAAGTACAATAATGTAATTTTGTTTTACCTTTTGTGGTGAACAGATAAGGTTATTTTGCTGTGATCATATAGTGGGAACTTGGAACAACATTTGTTCTGAGTCATAGGAGCTGTGAAACTTTGGTGACCTACTTATATATAGATAACTGATGCTGTGTCCTTATGATCATTTCTCTAAAAGCACAAAAGTGTTCATAATAGGCCTGCATATTTAATTGATCTGAAGCATCAGTGTAATTGATGAGAATCTTTATTTTTATTTCTTTCAACATCAGCACTCGCTGTAGAGGTCATTCTTAATCACAATGTATTTTATATTATAAAACGATTAACGCAAAGTGGCTGGTAGGTGGCACCTCGGTTTGTTATTGCTCACTCTTCATTTTCCCTGAATTTACTATGTTAATTTTTTTATTATAATAAAAATTATTATAAATTATAAAAAAAATTAACATAGTAAATTCAGGGAAAATGAAGGGTGAGTGAAGGTTCTACTTCTGCGGTGCCACTCTGTGCCTTAACAAACGGATAATTCTGTATCAGGTGAATTTTATTAATTTCCGAAATACATTAAATGAAGATTCGTTAAATCAAAGTTTCACTGTAGCACTTTTTTTGTCATCAGTTTGAATGTACTGTATCAAGAGAATTTGAGATAATATAGTTGTTGGAAAAGCTGTATGGTGAGAGGAACCATTTTTTCATAATTTTGTACAGTGTCAGTTACCAAAGTGAGCTAATCTGTAATTAACATTCTTATAATTATCTGTAGGAGGGCAAATTTTTTAAATTTCTTTTAAGTATAATGAAGCAGTCAAAATATTTTATATCTAATTTATTTTTCATAATAAAAATTATGGTTCTTGTCTAGTTAAATCAAGGGCTCTTGATCCAAGAAATTAGAGCTACTTTCCCCCCTTCCCCTCAAGATCAAACTTGATTACCTCACAGGTGCAGTATGACCCTTAGGAGTTCAGTGTTTTCCCATATATAAGAGCCTGGCTTGGGCAGTCTGCACAGAATTGATTAATTTAATTACATTCCACTAGTTATCCTTATACAGATCCTTAATAGTGATCCAGTAACTCAGACCAGTCAGGTTAATGGTTAATTAAAAGGAGCAAAAGTGTGCATTATGCCAATGCTCTTATTGTTAATGGTTGTAGAACCAGCACTTTATATAATTTTTTCTTTGGAAGTTAGCAGGTGCTTCAAATTTTACTCGCCTATTTGTGGTTGAAGGGGTAGAGTCACAGCTCCTGAATCCATATGAACATTTCTTTGGTTCCACACATAAATTAGTTTTTAATATTTAGATATATGTGATCATGTACAGTATAATTGTTTCTCTTGTTCAGAGTTCAGGTAATGATGGATAGTATGTGTTCTAACATTCATTGGCTACCTACTGTAAAAATTTTGTGAGTATTGAAATAAAAATAATAATAATAGACCATCATTTTTTATTCCTTTATATAGAAGTTTTAGAGTAAAATTGCCTTTTTATAGCTTCAGAAACAGTAATGCACCCTGAATAATAATAATAATAATTTGAAAGTTGCTCTGGTTTAATCTTATTACTAAATTTTAAATACATATTTCTAAATTGATATTATTTTATTTCAAGCTAACTTATAAGGTTCTCAATAAGGAAACTTTTACCTCTTGAGCTAGAGTTCTGCAAGTCACGTAGAGTGAGATCTTGTCTCTTAATGGTCAGTTCAGTAGTTGCTGATCTGAGAACTACTTTACTTTTAGTACTTTCACTGTCATTCATTTGACTGCCTTCAAAGCTCGCAGTGAGTTCTGTAAATTTTGGGAAAGTCTTTGCTTGGATTTGCATACACTCTGCGTTAAAGTTTGTGTTCTTTTCTACTCTTGAGTCACTCTTATGGGTGACCTCCTCAGGTTTTAGTTCTTGAGGGAGAGGTAAGTGCTTCAGGACTGACCATGGACGACAGCGTTGATCTTTGTATTTAAAGCTTCTCTCAGTAATCTCAGACAAATTATATTTTTCACATTCTTCGGTTTTATTCAGTAACATATTAACGTGTGTTGAGGTGTCTGCTGACTTCTGTTGCATGCTTGTGTCTCCTAGAATTTCTCTTGCAAATTGCTGGGCATTTTTCAGGAAGTCAGTTTCTACTGGAATATTTAACTCATTGGATATCCTTGTGATGCCCTTGAGACTGTTCAAATAGTTATATTCCAGAAATGTCTCTCCAAAGCAAGATGACACTGGGTTCCGTACTTCACGAATTCCTGAATGTAAACTAGTATCTGTAAGTGATGGATTGTCATTGGCATCATTACTATAGTTAATGGCTTTTAATTCATCTTTCTGAAGCGATAATTTTCCCGTCTTCAATGCATAATCTTGCTCGACCTTAGAGGAGCCGGTTGCATTTGTGCTCTGTCTCGGCCGTCTTTTTCTACGTCGATAATTCCCATGTTCAAACATGTCAGAAGAGCCAGGGTCGAGAGCCCAGTAGCTGCCTTTGCCTGGCCTTCCCTTCTCCCGAGGAACCTGTGAACATATACAATTTTAAAATAAAATTTTTATTTCTTTATGCCGTACAAATAATGTAGTTATATGTAATAAAACTGATAACCACAAAAGAAAGCTACTAATTATGCAAGATATAATAAAAATAATATGAAATTAATAAATATAGCTAGGCAAACAATGGAAAACTACAAAAAGTTTTGATAGCTAAGCAAATTACCCTGGTGATGAACCATTTGTGCAGTGCTGTATGACCCCTAGTGGGTCTAGTGCTTTCTTTTATTATAATAATGTGTGACCCTGGTGAGTTTAGTGCTTAGTTCTGATTGTAATAATAATAAACCATTTATAGATTAATGAATTAGTTATTAATAATTATTATAATTGTATGAGTTGCTAGTACAGACATGAAATCGGCTCCAAGAACATTAAGATGTAGCTTATATGTATGGTTTGGTGATACACCACTGTGGATGTAACAATGGCATTTTTTTGAACATTTATAAGCGAGCTGCCTTCGAATTTGTAATTTTTTCACATTCCAGCAAATAATGGCGCAGGGTGTGACAATAGTGTCTGTGACAAAGTTTACATTATGTTATGTCTGTATCAACCGAGGGTACAAACTTCCTCATAGCTCAGCCAGCCGAAGCCAAGCACTAGTGATATCAAGTTTTTCTCCTACGTAGGTGAGTACATCTTAACAGTACAACTCAGTGAGTGCAAATACACGAGTAGAGCTTTCTGAGAGCAAGTAAGCATAATTGAGTACAGAAAGTGAGCACAGCTAGGTGAATACAGCTTAGTGTGTATTTTTAGGCAAGTGTTGTTTGAGTACAAGTAGGTGAATACAGTGTTTATGAGTACAAGGTGAGTGCAACTAGTTAAGACCAGGAGAATACACTTACCTTGATGAAACAATCGTTGAGGCTGAGGTTGTGACGTATACTGTTCTGCCATCCCTGTCTGTTGTGTCTGTAAGATGGTCAGTGCTGTTATACTATATCTCACTAGTGTTACACTTACATCACTATACGCATTGGCATGTATATATGTATGTTATGTATATATAAAATATATATATATATATATATATATTATTATATATATATATATATATTATATATATATATATATATATATATATATATATTATATATATTATTTTTTTTTATATCACACTGGCCGATTTCCCACCCAAGGCAGGGTGGCACAAAAAAAAAAAGCTTTCACCATCATTCACTCCAATCACTGTCCTTGCCAGAAGGGTGCTTTACCACTACAGTGTATAAACTAGCAACATTTAAAACCCCTCCTTAAGAGTGCAGGCACTGTTACTTTCCCATCTCCAGGACTCAAGTTCGGCCTGCCGGTTTCCTGAACCCCTTCTCAAATGTTTCTTTGCTCACACTCAACTGCCACGTCAAGTATTATTTAAAAACATTTGTCTCCTTTCACTCCCTCTCAAACACGTCACGCATGCCTGATGGAAGTCCAAGCCCCTCGCACACAAAACCTCCTTTTACCCCTCTCTCCAACCTTCCTCGGCGGACCCCTACCCCCGCCTTCCTTCCACTACTGACTGATACACTCTTTGAAGTCATTCTGTTTTCGCTCCATCTTCTCTCATGTCCGAACCACCTCAACAACCTTTCTCAGCCCTTGGACAACAGTTTTGGTAATCCCGCACCTACTCATAACTTCCAAACTTCGAATTCTCTGCCTTTGATTCACACCACACATTGCCCTCAGACAGACATCTCACATGCCTCCAGACCTTCTCCTCGCTGCAACATTCAATCACCATGCCTTCACACCCATATAAGAGCGTGGTAAAACTTTACTCTCATACATTCCCCTCTTTGCCTCCAAGCGACATACACGGTCTTTGTCGCACAGACTCTAAGTTTGCACCCACTCACTTTTTTTCCCTCATCAATTCTATGATTCACCTCATTATTTAGTAGCCCTCCGATGAACGTCCACTCCCAAATATCTGAATTACATTCACCTCTCCATACTTTCTCCCTTCAATCTGATATTCAATCTTTCATTAACCTAATATTTTTGTTTACCTCATAAACCTTACTCTTTCCGTATTCACCTTTAATTTTCTTCTTTTGCAACCCTACCAAATTAATCCACATCTCTGCAACTTCTCTTCGAATCTCCCAAGGAGCAACAGTGTCATCAGCAAAGAGCAGCTGTGACAACTCCCACTTTTGTGTGTGATTCTTAGCTTTTAACTCCACGCCTCTTGCCAGACCCTTGCTTTTATTCGCTTACAACACAATCTATAAAGATATTAAACAACCACCGGTGACAATCACTTATCCTTGTGCTAAGCCTTCTTTTACTGGGAAAAATAATTTCCCTCTTTCCTACATACTCTAACTTTGTGCTCACTATCTCGTAAAACACTCTTCACTGCTTTCAGTAGACCTACCTCTACACCATAACACTTGCAAAACATCTGCCACATTGCCCCCTTATCCACCTGTCATTACCGCCTTTCCAAATCCATAAATGCCACAAAGACCTCTTAGACCTTATCTAAATAATGTTCACTTATATGTTTCACTGTAAAAACCAGGCCTGGTCCACACACCCCCTACCTTTCCTAAGCCTACTTGTTCATCTGCCTATCCCTTTTCTCCGTCTTACCTAATTCTTTCAATAATAACTCTACCATACACTTTACCAGGTATACTCAGCAGACTTATCCCCTATAATTTTTTGCACTCTCTTTTATCCCCTTTGCCTTTATACAAAGGAACTATGCATGCTCTCTGCCAATCCCTAGGTACCTTACCCTCTTCCATACATTTATTAAATAATTGCACCAACCACTCCAAAACTATATCCCCACCTGCTTTTAACATTTCTATCTTTATCCCATCAATCCCGGCTGCCTTACCCCCTTTCATTTTACCTACTGCCTCACGAACTTCCCCCACACTCACAACTGGGCTCTTCCTCACTCCTACAAGATGTTATTCCTCCTTGTCCTATACATGAAATCACAGCTTCCCTATTTTCATCAACATTTAACAATTCCTCAAAATATTCCCTCCATCTTCCCAATACCTCTAACTCTCCATTTAATAACTCTCCTCTCCTATTTTTAACTGACAAATCCATTTGTTCTCTAGGCTTTCTTAACTTGTTAATCTCACTTCCAAAACTTTTTCTTATTTTCAACAAAATTTGTTGATAGCATCTCACCCACTCTCTCATTTGCTCTCTTTTTACATTGCCTCATATATATATATATATATATATATATATATATTATATATATATATTATATATATATATATATATATATATATATATATATTATATATATATATATATATATATATATATTTATTTAAAAGTACGGCCGTCTCCCACCGAGGCAGGGTATATATATAAATATATATAATATAATATATATATATATATATATAATATATATATATATATATATATATATATATATATATATATAATATATATATAAATATATATAAATATGCCTGCACTTTAAAGGAGGGGTTTGGGATATTGGCAGTTTGGAGGGATATGTTGTGTATCCTTTATATGTGTATGCTTCTAGACTGTTGTATTCTGAGCACCTCTGCAAAAACAGTGATAATGTGCGAGTGTGGTGAAAGTGTTGAATGATGATGAAAGTATTTTCTTTTTGGGGATTTTCTTTCTTTTTTGGGTCACCTGCCTCGGTGGGAGACGGCCGACTTGTTGAAAAAAAAAAAAAAAAAAAAAAATATATAAATATATATAAATATATATAAATGTATATAATTTATGTAATTATATAATTATATAATTATATATAATTATATTATAATTGTATTATGAATGTAATTTCATGCACTGCCCAGGGAGGTATACCATCTTTTAGGAGTGAAGAAGAGCAGGAATGTAAGTGTGGGGGAGGTACGTGAGGCATTATGTAGAATGAAAGGGGGTAAGGGCAGCTGGGAACTGATAGGAATTAAAAAGGAAATGTTAAAAGCATGGGTTTGTTGTATGTTGGAGAGGGTTGGTACTTTGTTTAATAAATGATGAAGAGGGGAAGGTACTAGTGATTGGCAAGGCAGTATAGCCATTTATAAAAGGAAGGGACAATTTAGAGTTATGTAAAAATTTATTTTTTTTTTTTTTTTAATTATCAACGCATTCCCACCAAGGCAGGGTGGCTCGAAAAAGAAAACTTTCCCATCATTATCCATGCACTGTCTTGCAAAGGTGCTTTACACTACAGTTTTTAAAACTTGAAAATTAACACCACCTTTCAGTGCAGGCACTGTACTTCCCATCTCAAGGACTTAAGTCCGGCTGGCGGTTTCCTTGAATCCTTCATAATGATTACTTTGTCAACTCCAAAGCGTCAAGTTTTAAAAACATTGTCTCCATTCACGTCTTTCAACACGTACGCATGCTGCTGGAAGTCACAAGCCCCTCGCACACAAATCTTACCCCTCCCTCCACCTTCCTTAGGCCGACCCTACCGCCTTCCTTCAACTACAGACTGTACACTCTTGAAGTCTCTGGTTCGCTCCATTCTCTCTACATGTCGACCACCTCAACAACCTTTCTCTCATCCTTCTGGACAACAGTTTTGGTAATTCCCGCACTCCTCTAACTTCCAAACTCGAATTCTGCATTATATTCACACCAACAATGCCCAGACAAGACATCTCCACTGCTCAGCCTTATCCTGCTGCAAATTCAATCACCACGCTTCACACCATAGAGCGTTGGTAAAACTAATATCTTTATACATTCCCCTCTTTGCCCAAGGAAAAGTTCTTTGCTCACAGACTCTAAGTGCACCACTCACTCTTTTCCCATTAATTTTATGATACCTATCTTTCATTAGGACCCATACGCTGACAGTCCACTCCCAAATATCTGAATACGTTCACCTCCATATTCTCCTCAACGTATATTCATCTTTCATCACTAATCTTTTTGTATCCTTCATAATTACTCTTGCTGTATCACCTTTAAATTTCTTCTTTGCAACCTACAAATTCATCCACAATCCTGAATTCTCTTCAGTTTCTCCAAGAGACAGGTCACGGCAAGAGCAGCTTGAAACTCCACTTTGTGTGTGATTCTTTATCTTTTAACCCCCCGCCTCTTGCCAAGACCCTCGCATTACTTTCTTCAACCCCATTAAAATATATTAACAACCACGGTGCTCACACATCCTTGTCTAAGGCTACTTTTACTGGGAAAAATTTCCTCTTTCCTACATTTCTCTAAATTGACCTCACACCTTTGTTAAAACTCTTCACTGCTTTCAGTACCTACCTCCTAACCAGACACTGCAAATCTGCCACTTGCCCCCTATCACCTGTCTTGCTTTTCCCAAAACCATAAATGCCACAAAGACCTCTTTAGCCTTCTAAATACTGTTCACTTATTGTTTCACTGTAAACCCTGGTCCACACACCCCCACCTTTCAAGCTCCTTGTTCATTGCTATCCTTTCTCCGTCTTACTCTTAATTCTTTCAATTATAACTTACCATACATTTACCAGGTACACTCAAACAGACCTTATCCCCCTATAATTTTTTTCACTCTCTTTTATCCCCTTTGCCTTTATAAAAAGGAACAATGCATCTCTCTGCCAACCCCCTAGGTACCTTCCCCCTCTTCCATCCCAATTTTATTAAAAAAATTGAAACCAACCACCCCAAAAAACCATATCCCCCCCCCTGTTTTTAAAAAATTTTTCTTTATCCCATCAATCCCGGCTCCCTTTAAACCCCCCCTTTCTTTTTTCCCTTACTCCCTCACGAACTTCCCCCACACCCCAAAAACTGGCTCTTCCCCCACCCCTACAAGAGTTATTCCTCCTTGCCCTTTCCCGAAATCAAAAGTTCCCCAAAATCTTCATCAACATTTAAAAAATTTCCCTCAAAATATTCCTTCCATTTCCCCAATCCCCTCATCCCCT